CACTAAATACGCTCGGAAAATCACGGGTAACCTTAGATACACGAGAAAGAACAATGTTGTGCATTAATACACATTTGAAACTACCAGCCTGGGAATTGTACCACTCAAATAAATTCTTGACCATGGTATCTCAATAACTAGCACTGTTCAATTTAACTCCTTCATCGACTTTAAATTGTTCAGTAAGTGTTTGGTCGACAATTTCATCGCACTACCGCCTTCTTGCTGATTTGTTTTACCCACAGGTACATCTGAGTCGCATAAAATTCGTCCTTTTGTCCAACGAGTGTCACCCGCGATTTGTCTATGAAAACTACTTTAGGAAAGTCAAATTTCCTCTGTTTCTTGATTTTGGCACTATAAATATTTGCTTTACAGAGATCTTGCCACGGAGATTTCTTGACGGATCCCAATTTGCGAAATATTCTACGCTTTTTGTCCTTCTTCACTACCCAATTTCAGAGCTGAGCATTGGTCTAAATATGTTTGTTTTTGTTATAACTCGCTTTAGTTTACCTTCACTTTGACGAAACAAGTTTTTAAATCATTTTCCTTTACTTATAGTTTCATTGGAAATATGTTTTCAACCGCGCTCTTTATTAGTGTATTATCTCTGTAAAGCTCTTTTGATATCTCCAATGTGGACATTCTCTTCCTTAATAACAGTGTTATTTTCTGTTTTTCAGCATTCGTTAGATCCTTTCCATTGTTATTAGAATTCAGAGGCCTTAAATTAATATTAGTTTTATCTGAATAATAACTTCAGACTGCAGTTTTTATAATAAATACTATAACTTTAATAAGACATGTTGAAACTATCTAATTTAACTCAAGCATCGACGTGTAGATTAATTGTTTAAAAATTGAGAAAATTGTACAAAGCAAATTTGAGTTATTGAGGTTTATGTTATTTGCATAATAACATCATACATAATATATATCTATCTGTCAATCTCACTATCACTACCTCTGTCTATCTCTTTATCTGGATATCTCTTTCTCCCTCTCTCTTTAACCCTATCTTTCTATCTATTTCTATAATAATTTCAAACAGATTTTATAGTCATTGGATTATAATTGAATAATATAAATATATAGAGATATTAATATATATATATATATATATATATATATATATATATATATATATCAGCTAAAACATTATAAGTATGCGGCTGTCGTCTTTAATCATGGGTGTATAAATTTATAGGTATATCTGATAGATATATATATATATATATATATAGATAGATAGATAGATAGATAGATAGATAGATAGATAGATAGATAGATAGATAGATAGAAATTAGCACCTCAGCAAAATCTGTTCACGCAAATATATCAATATTTGATCACACACATATATATCACATTAACTGAAAAACGACAACAAATTGTGGAATCATTAACAAACAAACAACCCAACATCAGTAAAATTTTTTATTAAATTTCTGAAGAAGAAAATATTTCAGACCAAAAATCGAAATGAAAACAAACTTCCCATAAGTGCTTATGTCTGTCCACGCAGTAGCAGCCAAATGATGTTACACCCGTAATCAACCTTGACCAATCCATTAATCACTCCACGACAGCGGTAAAGATTAGTTGGATTTAAGAGGCCTAATATCCAGTGAGTCTTTCTTCGGCTTTATAGAGTGTGAGCAGTTGGATAGACGGAAGATTCTTTCGAGATGTTGATGGGAATGGTGAGTACCTTAAGGCAAAATTTGCCATTTTCTGTGATCTTTCCACTTCCTCTTCGTATTTCTCGTTATAAGAAATCGGAGTCTTTGAATCTTTGAAACCGTCGCTATAGAGATATCCTGTAGCCCTTGCGTAAACTTTTGATGTAACCCATGGATTCAGTTCTATATCTTGTATTAGGAAAACCACCAACGTGGTGGCGCCCGATAAAAGTAACAGAATGCACACATTCAACAAATTCCTTACCTATATATCAAGACATCCAAACATATCTAACAACAGACACCATATATATATATATATATATATATATATATATATGTGTGTGTGTGTGTGTGTGTGTGTGTGTGTGTGTGTGTGTGTGTGTGTGTGTGTGTGTGTGTATATGTAGGGGACTCAGTGTGTATATTGTGCGTCCTTGTGTCTTGTGTGGACCAATTTCTCTGTATCAATCTGTGTGTGCGTTTGTGGCTGTAGCTGTGAGAGATAGGTGCTGAAAATTTATTGGCCAATCTCTCATCTCAAAACTCGATCAAATGAATAAACTGCAGATGTGGAAATCTCCTATTCATTGTATGAAGAATTCCAATAATCCTTCATCTGATATATATATATATATATATATATATATATATATATATATATATATATATATATATATATATATATATATATATATATATATATATATAAATATATGGATATAGATCCGACAGTATGAAGAAAAATACAGAAAAAAAAACAAACAAAAATCTGAATATGCAATTATGTAGTATTAATGTTAATATAAAGTCGACGTCGGACGTTTCGGCCTATTTAAGACCATCTTCATGGACATTTTCATTTAAACATAATTGACATTAGAACTTATAAAAATTTAACACAAAAGACGATATTAGTTGGGCTCTTATGTCCATCGTCTAAAATTGAGGAGCCAAAAAGGTTTTGGGCGAAATTTCATGAAATTAACTAAGTGGGGGGTAAGATATTTAAAAAAAAATATTTTTTACCAAAATTTTCTAAAAACAAAATATTTCAAAAATAATTTCACTCATTTGTGAATAAGTCCTGAAAATTTCATTAAGATTGGACAATTATTTTATTTTTACAAGAATTTCCAAATCAATATGTTTTCAACGGTAAAAAAACGCAAAAAAAACTGTTATTTTAAACGTCACCGCGATGATGTAAACAAAGACGACTTTAACCAAAATTTCGAACGTGTTAGAAAATATTAAAAAATTTTTAAAAATAATTAAAAAATACTTTTTTCTTTTATCTTAATAATAACATAAGCATTTTGACGATAATACTTTATTTTCTTTAAGTTTGTGGCATTTTTCATTTACGCTATGCTGTTTTTCCGCGAAAACAGTGGACATACTTATATATAATCTATAACAAACGGAATTTCGAATGACGCATTCTGTCCTTTTGGAGTTAATCGGACTAAAGTGAGGTTAACCCTTTACCCTACCTTAGCTAAGCAATAAAATCATAAACTGTTACACAAGATAAAAAATGAACTGGTAGTTTTATTTCATTCGCTCGGTAACTTTGATTGTATGTTTTTATGGATGTGTAATAAAATAATAAGCTTCCAATGAGAGAGCTTTAATACCTTACCGATAATTATAACATTGTGTTTCTATATATTGATATCTAGTTATTTATGCACATCTCTTGGTATCGTTCCATTCACATCACTGTCATTAGTTTATTTCTGCCTATCTATTCTATGATCTGGAATTAGAATGTAAGCAGGGATGGCACCTATCCTGAATCCATCATAAACATTCAGGGCGCGGAATTAGTAAATACTAAACACTTCGGATTATCGGCATATGGATCTTTTTGATGTAATGGAATAAAATGTCACCCTATTAAGTAACTACACTATAGGTAGTAACTTCCTATAAGTATCTGTAAGTCAACAGACTACAGAATCGAGCTTGGAACCTTTTCCAGCTGTGCTGGTTGAACTCTCTGCCTTCGAACAAAGAGGAACCCGGATAAGGCTCGTCCGGGGAGGTAGACAGACCCCGATCCCGTTTATGCGGGGTCTACAGGCTCGGATGACCCACGTTAATCTCGACCTTGTGCCACATTACCCTTGATAGTAAATATTGTCTAGCTGGGATCTGTTGAGTACGACTCAGACTTACGCAAGAAATACTGAACTTCCAATAGTAGCACTCACTACTGGATTGACTTGCGACGACCTTGTGCATAACTGTTACCTTTATTCTTATTGTACTGATTTTGTACAATAAACCTTTACTTATTTATCAAACTTGCTTTTTCAAGTATATATTTCTATTGGTACGGAATATAACACTTTTATAACAAGTTAACTACTGGAAAAAAGGAAATCGAACATGCTGTTCATGATGACGGTCGTCTTTGAGTACAGAATCCAGAGGTTAACAGTGAATATTTCGAAGACAGTAGGAAAGCGTTGTTCAGGTTAGCAGTGGATATTTCGATAAAAGTAGAAGAGCGTAGTTCGTCCTTCTGTTTCTCTTCGCCTGACAAGCTGGCACTGGACATTCGGGTAGAGTGAACAAAAATGGCCGCCTTTATACACGACGGATTGAATATTCTACGTCTTCTGATTGGTTAACCTTCTATTGGTGGACTATAAAGTGAGTCAAGTCATTTGGGCTAACTCACTAGTACATACATATACACAAAAAACTGCAACACATATAATAGACTGCGCCATTGGTAGTTTCCCTAAACATTGCAAATTGCTGCAAAATCAAAATATCAACCTGAAAACACGACTCACTCATCTTAAATAGGTTCGTCAGATCGAGACATTCATATAGATGTTCATAAATATAGATCTAAACTCTTAGCTGTATACAACCACTACCTCAGTTGAAAAAGACTTTAAGAATGTGAAACCGGATGTGTTTTGAAAAAAGTACCCCTCTATAAAAATTGTAAACTGGCGCTATATATTCCAAAATCCATTAACGGTACCAAATAACAGAAACCACATCACTTCGTTGGTTGCTTTTGTTTAGCAGCATATCAACCTCTATGGATTATTTAATGCCGAGAACTAAACATTTTTTGTATACAATTTTATTTTACTTTTGCAGATAATAATGGTCTAGTGACACAATTCTTACTAATTAACCCATAGTTTGGGAGAGAAGAGGTGGATTCATACCTTTTCCAAGAGTATTTGCGTGTATGCGAATATAATGAACCCGACTGGAATTGGAACTCAGCTCTTCGATTAACAATTCTAACTCATTATCCGTTACACAACCCATACATCCAAGCTTACAGCACCTAATATTCCCAAGCGGTTATCTCTTTGGGTATTGAACAGGCGCGACGTTGCTTAACTTCGGGGATCGTATGTGAACCGGTGTTTCAACGTGAAGTGGCCGTAGGCACACACCATTAATTAATTAAGATGTTTACATTCCACACTGCTGCAAATAAAAGGTGCTGAAACCCCCTTCCCTACCAATACTGCAAAGAGCGATAGCAGCCAGTTGACTTCAGATAACTGTTTTCCTGAAAAAGTGTTTTAAGAGAAAGAAATACTGATAGATTCAGAATAGGTGCGATACCTGCATACATTCTAATTCCAGATCATAGAATAGATAGGCAGAAATAAACTAATGACAGTGATGTGAATGGAGCGATACCAAGAGATGTACATAAACAAATAGTTATCAAGAAATATTAGGTTGGTGCAAAAATAATGACGTAAGAATGTCGTTTTTTGATGTTAAAAAATACGTCAAAAAACGACATTATTACGTCATTATTTTTGCACCAACGGAATAGAAACACAAAAATATAATTATTGGTAAGAAATGCCAAATATTTCTATTACCACTGACATCAGTATAGCCATGTATATTTCAATTTAGTAATGTTTATCTATGTTAATTTATACACATATCTATATAAATAAATGCGAATGTCAGTGTGTCACACTTTTTCAACTTTAATCCTAGTGGCCATAGCCTAACATATCCTACTATATTTGAATTAGGCCGACTCTGTAAGCAAATTAAAGACATTCAAGGCCGAATCCGGACCAGCAATCTTGAAATTTAGGATTCCTAATTTTTCATTATTGCGATTGTTTTCGGCAATGTTTGACGTGATTTTTTTCAAATGATTTTTTTTTCTTGTAAGATAACAATTTTTATAAATTTGGGAATAATTAAAATTAATTGCAAAATCCAGCGAAAGTTACACATGAAAAATAATTGTTTGTGCTGAATGTAAGAACACGCGTAAATCAAATTGTCTTTAATTTAAGTTGCGGCAGAATAGCTATCGCTGAACTTTTAAAATATAAGCTTAAATATTAATGCAATAGTTAAACGTTGTAAACAATTTTGACTTCTTTTGTAGTTTATTTTGCCTATCAGATACGACAGCAGTATGCCTCGCAAAAAGAAATCACCGCTAACAGAGAACCAGATTGCATTAAAAAGAGCCAAAGCTGCAGCAAGGAAAAGAAAAACACATGCAAATGAAAATCCAGATCAAACGGCAGTTACGAGAGTTTCCGGTGCTGAGAATATGCAAAGAATTAGAGATCCTTGGACTCCCGAACAAGCCGAAGTCACAATCAGGACTAGCAGGAGCTAGTTTAATTGCTCCACTACCAATAGGGCGGCTGTTAAGCTAGTATTATAGACATCAATATCAGTTTATACATACACACACACACACACACACACACACACATATATATATATATATATATATATATATATATATATATAAATCGATAAACTACATCCGGTCAAGCCGAAGTCCCAATAAAGAGCCCCCCGAAGGAGCTAGCTTAATTGCCCCCCATTAATAGTGTGTCTGTTAAGCTAGTATTATAGATATCAATAATTTTATATATATATATATATATATATATATATATATATATATATATCCATAAATTACATCTGGATAAGCCGAAGTCCCAATCAAGAGCCCCCAGCACGAGCTAGCTTAATTGCCCCCCCACCAATAGGGCGGCTGTTAAGCTAGTATTATAGATGTCAATATCAGTTTATACATATATATATATATATATATATATATATATATATATATATATATATATATATATATCGGACAACTCGAAGTCCCAATCAAGTCCCAATCAAGAGCAGGACCTAGTTTAATTTCCCCCACCAATAGGGCGGCTATTAAACTAGTAGTATAGATATCAATATCACTTCATACATGTATGTATATATATATATATATATATCGATAAACTACATCCGGACAAGCCGAAGTCCCTATCAAGAGCCCCCCGCAGGAGCTAGCTTAATAGGCCAGCTGTTAAGCTAGATATTATCAGAATATATATATATATATATATATATATATATATATATATATATATATATATATCGATAAACTATATCCGGCATGAAGGTCTTTGATCGGGAGATTATAGGTGTTGACGAGCGTGGAATCATCACTTAATTGCTGTTGTTCCTAAGCCCACCCTAACCAGGGGTGGTACCACCTGTTTGGATCCTAGCTATGGGCAAATAGTAAAGCACCAGGGGTGGTACTAGCTGTTTGGATCCTAGCTAAGGGCAAATAGTAAAGCCCCAAACACAAAAAATATCACTATGAAAGTATAAAAATGGATTTTTATAATAAAAATACAAGAAAATATTTTTATTTAAAAAATGACCAACAATACATATTCATAGTAAAATGACCAACAATACGTTCTAAAACAAAATGACTAGCAAAACGTTTTATGATGGAATTACCAACAGTACATTTTCTAGCAAAATGACTAACAATACATTTTATCTATAGCTGAAAGCATACAATTCCCTTAAAGATATATTAAGTTGAAGCCATACAATTGCGTCCAAAATATATTTACTTGGATCCATAAAATATTTAGATTTCGGCATTAAATAACCCATAGAGGTGTTGATATGCCGCTAAACAAAGACAACCAACCAAACCAATCAAAATATTTAGATTTCGGCATTAAATAACCCATAGAGGTGTTGATATGCCGCTAAACAAAGACAACCAACCAAACCAATCAAAATATTTAGATTTCGGCATTAAATAACCCATAGAGGTGTTGATATGCCGCTAAACAAAGACAACCAACCAAACCAATCAAAATATTTAGATTTCGGCATTAAATAACCCATAGAGGTGTTGATATGCCGCTAAACAAAGACAACCAACCAATCAACACGAAAAATTCTTTCATGGCATTAATCAAACTGTATTCAAAAATATAACTTCAACAAAGCATAAAATGCACATATCACTGCCTCTGTCCTCGCAAAATTGTATATAAACAAAATCTGCGTATCATCTGCCATGTATCCATTTGTGAAAGCAGAATAACATATATCCTATTTTTATTACTTCAAGCTCCCAAAAATATTAAATTTCGGTATTAAATGTTCCATAAGTTGGCTGTATGCCGTTAAACAAACAAATCATATATTTATTGAAACCTAAGACCTGATATCAAAGACATGGCTACAAATAGATATCATATTTATTAACGAAGTGAATTTAGGTAAAAAAAATTTTAAATTTTAAATTAATGGCCGCAAAAATGGGAAATCGGTGTGACTCTCTGTATTAGTTCATTATGATGCCTTCTATATTTAAACAAAATATATTTTCTAATAAATATTTGTTTATTTAAAATACTACAATTTTGGGGTCTTTCTGTTAAAAAAATATGAATTCACTGCAACTTAAAAAGAATTTATATTTACTAAAATTCACAGAAATTTTCCCAGACAGTGTTCCTTCCATTGTACTCCGGGTGAGTTGAAATTTGCGATCACACTAAATGTGAGTGATTCAAATGCACTATTTCTACGTGTGGGGTGTGCATCCAGCTCACTCCGGTAAACAAGCCAAAAACAGATTTTTTTTTCTTTTTTTAAATTGTAAAATTTCCTTGTAAGTACTTCAAATATCAGCCGCACTTGCAAAATGTGAATACCTTCTTGATTTTTGATAATCTTTCATTCTGAGTGTTGGAGTTGTTGCGAGGCAAGCTAAACAAATTTTGATTTATAATTTATAATTAAAAAAGAAGGCCAACAATTTGATAACAAAAAAAAACTTTGATTTAAAATTTATAATTTCTTGGGATGAATTAATATTTACGATAAGTAACCTCACATTATTCGGGATGAATGAACAGAAAAGATCCCAAATTAGATTTGAAAATGAATCCTCTCATCTTCTTAACTGAAGCATTTTCGCTATCATTCATTTTTGATGAATCTGTCGTCTTTTCTCTCGCTGGTTTGCACCTGGTATTATGTTTGCATCTAAGTGTAAATATTTTACACCTAATAGTGTTAAGACAATTTATGCCTTGATTATTTTCATAGTAATATTCACGTGCTTTTGTTATTAATTTATTTTTGTTATTTATATTTTTTTGCATTTACTCTACGACTTTTAAATAATATGGGTCCGCTTCTAAATCAGACATGAACAACCTTTTTCGATCAGTGGACCGCATGACCTATGACTCATTATAAAGATGGCCGCATTACTAAAAAGATTCAGTCATTTTTCGTAGTAGGAACCTCAGCTATTTTCACAACAGAAGATCATATGCGTAAGCGTGTACTTTAGAAATGGTAAGAAAGTTTTATTTTTTTTAGAAATGATTTTTTATAATTAACAAACTGAACTCTTGGTATAATATTATCATTGACGATAGTGTGATTATCACATATCGCCTCTGGGGATTTATTCCTAGTTCATTCATTTGAAAATGAAAACATTTCTTCTTTAGAGAAAAAATACTTATGAACGTTTCCTGTTTTAAAAGGAAAATAGGATTACACATATGACCTTCCTTAGTGAAGTTTGCCAATGGTTTTAAAGGCTGACAACGATACTTTCCTCCTAAAATTTTACAAAATTCAAGAAACATTTTACTTAGCAATTGTTTATGTATGTAGTTATGTATGAGAGACTGTGTGAGTGAACAAATGAGAACGAAACGAAACAATATTTTAAGAAATATTATTTTCCTTATGAAAGACCAAACTGACAACATGATTAATTAGAGTAGACAGGATCTCCTCTTGCCCGGTTCACACATCTCCCTAGTCTTTTGAACGAGAGTCGAGGTTTATCACTTGGTTCATGTTTAGCGTTGGTTTTACCGTTCCTTCTAAAGTCTACTAAAACTCTGTACTCCTAACGCTTATCATGAATTTTAGTAATACAATTCCACACAGTAACCCTCTACCTTGCGCGGCTCTTGGGCCTTGTATTATATGAGCAGTAGTAACAAAATGGGCCGCAGTTTGTCCATGATTGTTCTAAATAAACTTTCAACCAAACTTGATCTCGTATCGCTTAAACTTAGTACCCAATTTAAACTAGATC